CTTGGCACAATTGGTCTGTGTGCATGGTTTGGTCCCCAGAGGGCACACAACGAGCAGGACACCCTATGAGACCTCCTGTTAGCACATCCATGCTCCTGCTCCCAAGAGGATTTCCTGACCTACATTCCTGGTGGGCCATGGGATCAGCTAGGAGTACAAGGTGACCTACTGCAATCCTTCATTCTCTTTGAATATTAGAGTCCCATAGTATGTGTGTCTAGGGAGGATGTACAGGCAAGAGAAAGGAGAGAGGAGCACCAGGAGGAGTAAATATTTCCACAACGTGATTTGGGGGCAGACCAGATGAACGTTAGATCTCTGCTAAAACAGTGCCCGACTGTGTGCAGTAAGGAGATGCAAGGTCCAAGAAGGAGCTCTGCAAGGCTGGGACTACGTGGGGACTACTGTTGCAAAATTCAGCAGAGACAGCAGGCAATAATCTGCTCCTTACCTTCTAGAGAAGGCAGCATGGACAACCTTGCATGGAGGGTGAGCAATGGAGAGTCCACTGAAATCTGCAAACCGTGGTCCAAGACGTCCCTAGTCCTGGCGATGCCAGCACCATCTAGCACACTGATGATAAAAGGGGAACTAGGGACCTGTTAAAAATGAGATTTCAACGTGCACCTCCAGCAGACTCTGCAGTTTGAATGCAGCACCTTGGCCTGCTTGGTGACCTAATAGCTCACTGCCTGCTGTTGGAGACAAGATGCTGGACTAGATGGAGCTTCAGTACAGCCTTATTCCAATTCTTACAGTCACACGTATAGACATGGGATAAGTTCTTGCTCCCATTTGCTTAAAGGCAATTCCAAAACTCCCGGGCCAACAGTTTCTAAAGTGGCTTCTGATTTTGGATACCTCTGTTTTGGGTCTGTATTTTGGGTCACACTTCAATTTCTACATGAGTATGCGTAATCACTACTTTGACAAACAGGGCTGGCACATCTCAAATGGCTCACTCCAAAGTCCAGGCATTTCAGAGGAGTGGCTGTTTGTGTATAATTAACTGGGTGTTATTTACTGAGCTGGCAGCAGGAGACAGTCTGTAGCACAAAGCTCTGTGCTGCCCAGCAGGTCACAGATCCAGTGTTGTGGTTTCTCAGTATTGCTGGATTGCCACTGTTTAAACAGCAAAGGCAGACCCTGACCCAACATCTGCCATGAAAGGGCAGAGAAGAGAGCTTTGTCCTTAAACTTTCCCAACTTCAGTTTGTGAGTAATCTACGTACCTCTCATTAGCTGCAATCTGGAAACTCTCAGTTGCTTTTAATTGTTGGTGTGGTGAGCGTCAAGATCCTAGTGTGACAGGAAAGTAAATGCTGCAACTGCAGCTCTGCTGGGCCCCTCAAAATACATGACTACTCTGTATTTCTGGCTGTGGATTCTTCTGTCACTGTTCCTTCGGTTGACGGTGCCACATTACACACAGTACATTATTTAAACAATGGTTGTCTACTAAAACATAAAACAAAAGCATTCCTGGTTTTGTCAGTTGAACCGAAACAGACAGTTTTTATTGCTGCAAAGGAGATTAATAATAATAACAATAAACAAACAACCCTCCTTCAAAATAGACGTGAGCCACATGGATGAACCTTACACAAAGCAGGAACCTAAACACGGTGGAACAATGGATAATCATATCCCATACAGAAAAATCTGTGTCTTGCCAGAAATGCTCTGTCTTAACCTTTGATTCTTCACTGTGGAGAGCTCTGGAGTCCTTGTAGAGACCTAAGTTGTTTGTTGGGTTTTTTTAAACTCTGTGGTTCCCAGTGAACACTGGTATTCAGGGACAAACACATGAAATAAGGATTCTGAAATATCTGTTGCATCCACACACTGCAATACAAAATAAGAAAGATCCACTACCCAAATATCTCAGGGAGCCAATACCTACCTGATTCAAGGAAAAAGAATACAATTCCATGAACAACATTCCCAAAGCTCTATCAACACTGAAAAAATATACAGTCTTGACTTTTTCACCTTGTCCCATGAATCCATCCCACATCCTTGTGCTTCTAGCCTCATTTCCCACAGAGAATGAAATTTCTGTGATCATGCCATCTGGCTGTCTATCAGTCAGTATGTTCTGAACCTGCTTTCTATCAAACTGACAGAGGGATTGGGGCTCAAAGAGAATTAAGTGCCTATGAAATTTATGAAAATCAGCATGTGGGTCGAAGTCAGAGCCCCAAACGAGTGCCCTTGCTAAGGGAAAAGTAGGCAGAACGCAGCCATTTTACACGCTGCTTGCTAATGTCAGTCATCACGCGTGCAGCTCTGGACTCACCAGAGCAGACGGTGCTTCTTGCTCAGTGAGATCGAGGGCTTATGGTTGGTGCAGCGAGTAGTATGGGCGAGGTAAGGAGAGAAAGAGACAACAAGACACATCTGTAGGAAAGCAGGTCTCATTAGGTCCACAGAACAATGCATTTAATGATAAACTTCCACTTATTCACAGAGCCGTGCAGCTCCTGCGGTTCCTGAGGGCCCTGCAAAGATGTCGATCTGTTTCGCACGGAGAAGGCTGACAGGCAATCACTGCCTCTTCACTCCCACATCCAAACCCATCCCGCTGAGCTCCCATTGCTTCCACTGCTCAGGACCGGAGTGAAACTCGAAGCAGCTTCCAGGGCTCTGGAGATAATAGGTTTGTTCTTTGAAACTGTATAAAGGGTATTAAAAGTTAGGACGGAAAGTACAGCCTGGTTGAAAGTTTCCCTAAAGAAAAAATCCCAACCAGGGAAAGTTTAGAAGCAGAATATTTCAGATCCCCCAGCGAAGGGAGTTTCAGTTTTTGTTTTTCATATCTTCCTCGTTTGCTTCACATACTGTGCTGTGGAACAGCAGCTGAGCTTGCAAATAATTCTGGAGGAAAAGAGCTGTTTTACTTGAAGCTATGCCTGTCCTAGAAGGAAAAAAAAAAGTGTGTTTTTAAGAGTCCTACCTCCTGTATTTTAACTAACTGGGGAAGAATGCTGTTTAACATCATCTTGGCAAGCGTGCGTGGCACGTACATTTCCCAGATTAAACTGAAGCCTGACCCTTTACGCTTACCTTCAGTGCACTTCTGTGTGGGCAAACGTGTGACCTCAGCCTCAGGCATGCCGCAGCCCCTCCAGACTTACATCTGGTCAGGTCGTTTTGGGAAAGATTGCTGCGGGTTGACCCATAGCAGGGGCAGGAGCTTACTGTGGTTTGCACACTGGGGGTTTCCTCACAATGAAAGAGCGAGGTAGAGAAGGTTTTTGCCTCTGGATAGGTTTATGAAGGGTAAATACGTAGCTCTGTGAGACTCAGAGAAAGAGGCACTTGGGCAAAAGCTGAGTGCCCTTCTTGGAGGTGGGCTTGATGTGTGACTGACTCATGGGGGCAGGAGAGCCATCACTGTAGTGAAGAACAGATGTGAAATATATTAACTGGAGCCCTCTTCTCTCCAAGATTTCCTTCAGCAACTCCCTCTCACTTCTGACTTCTCAAGGACTCTATTATTTCACACAGGACAAAGAACTGAGGATTAAGAATTTGCTCTCTCTCTAGAGAGATCCACTGGGATTTACATTTTACTTGTACCTATCTGCTAAGTAATGGATTGAGGTCCTTGATACTGGAAAACACGAAGAGAAAAATAAAGCTTAGAGCCTCTGTTTTATTTACTATGCCGGTCAATGAATATAGAAGCAAAAAGCTTTAAAAATAAGTAGGCTATTTTAGCAGCGATGCCTCCAGTGAAATTACTGTCTGACTTCTCTCACAGAACAGATTGGAGTTTCTGAAAGTGTTACCCACCCATGGCGTTTACACATCCGAGTGGACTTTTGCATGCTGAGGGCTTGTCAAACTGACTTCTCCTCACAAAGCTTTCTAGAGGTGATTTGACTTTAGGGTGCCCAGCCTGATGTGGCTTCCAAGAACCTGGTTTTCAAAAGGGGCTGACCATACACTCTTCCCCCATCAAAACTCAAAAAATGAGCCTTCCTAAATGGCTTTTCTCCATCATGATCTCAGTAGCCTAAACACAGTGGCCAGAACTGTTTTCCAAAAATAACATGTCAGCAACTTTCAGAGTTTCATGATTTGTAAGTGTTTCTGTGATCAACCTCAGACTTCCTCAAAAATTCTCCAGGGGGAAACGGCTCTTACAGATCACAAGGAAAGGACTTTTTTTTTTTTTCCTTTTTCAAATATCTAGAGGGGATGTCCAAATGATTCCTCTTCTGGGAGCTGCCTTAACTATTTTTTCATGAGAAAATTTTCCAGCATATAATTTGTTAGAATTATGTCACTTTAGCTGCCCATGCTTGTCTTGAAAATTACAAAATACACTAAGAAGAGATGCTGCTTCTACATCATGAGTGTCTACATGGGGAGTTACACATCTCATGCTACAGAAATACAGTTTGTATTGCTCAGCCATGCTGTGAATTCCTGCTTAGCCCTTAGCCCCAAGTCACAGTGTTTTGGTGTCACAACCTGAGGGTTTAAATGTGGTTTCAGAAATGCCACTGCACACGGCCAACCTTTGCACAGACACTGTTCTGTTAGAGCTGTAGAGAGAAGGTTGAGAGGGGGTTTTGGGAGGCTGACAAACCCTTTCCCCTGCTGTTTTGTCACTCAGGAGAGAGATTCTTTCAGTGCTGATTTTGACGCCCTTCATGCCGACCCACAGTGCCCCATGATCAACCTTATTTCTGTTCAGATCAACACAGAGGGGGGAAAAACACCTGAAAAAAATAAAGGAGGCGAGGTGCCACCCATGCAGGCGGTTGCAGAAAAGGGAGTGACCTAACAGACTGAATGGGAGGAGCACTGGCTCCTATACGTAGGGATTTTCCCTGTGACGGGGGACTTCAAGATAAGCCGCCTGGGGATTCCCCAGTCTGCCTCCAGAAATATCACTCTAGAAGCAGTAACGGTTTCACTCTGCTCTCACAGTCCATCCTGTGAAGAGGCTCTCTGCTGCTGCTCTGTGATTTGAAGCAGCAAAAGCCATGTCTTCGGTAGTCTACGTTCTGCTCATCACCCTGTGCAATGGTAAGTGGGGAGCCTTGCATTTTTCATTCTTGTTTTTAACATTTGTTTTGCGTGGATATGTTTTGGGAAGACAGGAAGGATTATCTAGGCAATCTCTTTTAACGGCAACGTGTACCTGTGCTTTGCAGTTTGGCGCTTGATCCGTGGGGCTTCTGTGGTCGTCCCAGATGTTGCTGTGAGATGTGCTGAAGAAGTGCTGCTGCCCTGTAAAGTTCTTCGGGACTCCTCAATCACCTACCAGACAGCAACTTGGTATAAAGTAAGAAAAAAGCCTAAGTTACTTGAGCAGTCTGCTTTGCTTTCCTACCTGATACTGGCTTCTCTTGTACAAAATGGGTTATTTTATGAAGAGGCATCCTCCTGTCAGTGCGGCAGAGATAAGGCAGCAAGGAAAGCATTTGAGCTGGTTACAGAGAACAGGCGTTTTCCATGTCATTGTGATCCCTGAATTGCTCTTGGCCTGCTTTTCTACATAACTATTGCTAGCTTCCAGGGATCAGAATTCGGGTGATGCCCCATGTACAGCCTGCCAAATACTATTCCAAAGAGGAGTCTTTCCAGGATCTTTTTTCAGAGCAAAAAATGGTATTTAAACCTTGCAACATCAATGATGTCCTTTGGTTAATCTCCCCCCAAACAGGAGCTGTTTTTTTTTCCTTTGAAATAGAAGAACTAAACAAGTACTTGCTATTCTTTAGGAAGATTTGGCTATTGGGGGTAGGCATAAGGGCAGGGCATGAAGGCGGCAGATGGAGAGCTAGAAATTCTGAGTTATCTCTTCGCAGTCACAGAGTAGAAATCACATCTTGACTGTCCTGGTTCAGAATTCCCATCTCCAAAGCAGGAGAGCCTTGCTAACCACCTATTTGCAGGAGGGGCTGCAAGGATCAATCGGCTAACGAGCATAAAAGTTCTGCTCAATACTTTCAAGATGAAATTTCTCATAGAAAGAGAGGCAGAGCTGCCCAGTGGTTGAAGAAATGGCTGTTGATTTGTTGTGCAGAACAGTGTATTTGCATCTCAGTGGATAGTTTCAGCTTATGGTGTGAGCCAAATTAACAGGAGAAAAAAAAAGAAGGTTTTGTTGTCCCCCATTCCCAGCCATGCACTCCTGCCGCTTACTGTAGGTCAGTCCTGGTGGTCCTCTGGTTGCCTGTTGAGTCGACTCACTGTTGCCTGTTGTAGTGGTTGAAAAATCAATCTGTGAATAAGGATTTTGTGGGTTACAGAGTTGAATTACTTTCCCATGTGAGGGCAGAGCAGTGGAACGGAAGGGAAAAGCCTCCATTTTCAGTGGGTGAAAACTGTTAATTTCTCTCTGCCAAAACATAAAGCCACAGCCTTGGCTTCATCAGCAGTTTGATCAGATATAGTTTTAAAAGTATTCCCTATGGTAAACCAACAAAGAGGGTTATTAAATAGGACTTCTGTGGTTGAAACTTGCAATGCATCTGAGTTTCAGTCCTGGTACAACAACGAGCATCTGCCTGCTCACTAGGTGACAATTGCAACCCAAAGATATCTAACTCCAAGAGAGCTGTTTTGAACATCTGGCTACCAGCCCATCAGCAAGTCCAGCATCTATAGTCTCCTCCTTTTTCCAAAAAGTTTAACTAAGTGCGGGTGGGAGACAGAGAGGACAGAGTAAAGCATTTGGTTGAACATTTCTGTGGGAGCTGGGATAGGTGTCAACTTATTCTTTTTTGCTTTCTGCTTCAAAAGGTGGATAAGGACATGTACTTTCCAAACAGGGACATGCTGATTATTTAAGGGAACTTTTTTCCCCACAGAGCCTAGGCAGGGCAGGGAGCTCATTGCAGGCAAACCATGCTGTCTGGTGGACCTTGAGAAGTTCAGTAGAAGTGGTAAGGGGTGGAGGAAAAAACAGAGACGTTGACTGGAGCCCTCAAAATTCTCCCCCAAACCAGTGCTGGGAGTCAACAAGAACAGTCTCAGCAGGCTGAAGCGTGGGGATCCTCCAGAAGCACGTCCTTCTGAGCTCAGTGGTGGCTGGGAGGGCCAGGCTGTCAACAGGAGCCAAAAGCCATTGCCCTGATGAAAGAGCGTAAGGAAACACTGTAGACTCATTTCTGTGTTGTCTTGTAGCTCTTTACAGCTCCACCTGGGCACAAAAGGACCGCACATGCAGGAGAGGGTGATTTTTGACGATGCCTTTGTGCGTGCCCCTTCCTGGGCAGCCCTCACTAGCGCTGCTTCCCTTTGCGGCAGTCAGGCTGTTACAGGCCGGACTGCCACTGCCCGTCCCCTGCCCTGTCCCACCCGTCTCTTCTCCCTCTGTGCTCTCCTCGCTCTTCCTGCTTCATCCATTTCGCTCAGGAAAAGACTTTTTTTTCCCAGTGCCCAGCATGACAGGACCTCATGCTATTTTTCTCTGCTGGCACTGACAAAACTAGAAGTAGTAACAAACTGGCTATCTTCAACTCCTGCCACCATCCTCAGGGGCCGATGGCACCATCTATGGTACTGCAGTCTTCCGGTTACTCATCCCAGGAGAGAGGTGGGAAGTGAGGCCAGGAGTTAACGCCACTCTTGATTATGCTAGCCTAAACCACAGTTGCAGCCATATTAGGAAAAGCACAGCACCAAAGCTAAAAAGCCTAACTCTCGGCAGAAAAATTTAATTTAGGCTCAGTGTTATGTACTGAAGAAGTCTTGCTGCTTCTACTCGTGGGGCTAGCTGAACAGGCAGCAGCTTGAAGTTCTCGCCTCTCCTCTCTGCTGCGGTCCCCACCCAGCACCGCAAAAGGAGGGTGGGGGAATGGCAGAGCATGACTGGGCTACCCAATGTAGAGAATTAACCTGTTATTTAAAAAACAGCTACTGAAGGATTAATCAATAAACACTACGTATACCCCCAAAGGGCTAATTAAAAGGTAATTCCAACAAATGGTATGAAATTTCAGACTATAAAGTTCAAGCAGCTGCTAGGCTAAATCTTGTGTATGAGGTCACTTTGAACTGTGCAGTAAATGCAAGCAATTAACCTTTGCTTCTGCTGCTTTTAAAAAAAATGATGGCGACAACATTATGGTGCTGCACGTGCAGCTGTCTGCGCAGGATGAACGCTCAGCAAACAACCCTCTCCTTCCCACTGGCACCTCTGCATGCTCTGACCAATTAAGGGGTACTTTTAAACACTGCTACACTCTGCTTAAAAAAAAAAAAAAAGGATGCTATTTAAAAGTACTTGCTTTTTAAGTTTTGTATGAAGAAGTAATTGTTTAAAGGAATTAATATCGTGATGTCAAAGTCAACTGGATGTAAAAAGGAAGTATTGCATTCAACAGTTCCTTCACTTTTGCTAATGTCTCATACTGCAAAAAGGCATTGCATTTAACTCGTCCGCCCAGTATCCTTGGAGCTAATTAGATTATTCACATGCATGAAGTCACGCGTGTAAGTAGTTTTGTGCAGAATCAGGACCACAGTCAGCTCAGGCAAAATGATTTTTACTTGGAAATACTTGAAGAAGGCAGGCCTAGCACACTGAGGAGAAGGTACAGCACCAAGTCCTCTTCCAGCCTCGTGCAACTCTCATCCCATTCACTACGTGGCCATGAAAAAGTTAAGAGAGTTCATAATGATGATACCCTTTAAGTGTGGTTCATTTTAGGACTGCTGGTCAACCTACATGTCATAAAAACATATATGAGCAGCATGGAAGTTTGCCAACCGAGAACTGAAATCTAGGTTATTTTTGCACAAGCACCCAGGCGCTGGGAATTGTATATGGAAATACTGGTTTGAATCTCTATGGCCCACCTAGGAAACAAGAATCTGGGTAATGAAACTTTAGTTACCTTTCTGCCTTGTAGGGCTATTGAAAACCAGTTTCTCCTTGCGTAGCCCATTGAAAATGAGAACTGCTTCATAAAACCTCATAATTATCACTTTATATCCAGTTTGAAAACCACGTTTAAAACACACACAAATGAAGTCCCAGTGGATATTTCACTATTTTGTTCATGTGATAGCCAGAAAAGTCTTAATCTAAAACAAATCTTGAGGAAGAGGAAAGAAGGCTGTGCTTCAGTGGAGAGAAGTCTGCTAACTTTATAACACTTCCCTGAAAAATATGAAATTGTGGCAGAATTAGAGGTGGAAGCCATATTACAAAATAAGAATAAACCTTATAGACATTTAATATTAATCACACCTTCCTTCAAAGGAAATAATTTTTGCTAAGTGTGCATAGCTATTATCTATTAGCATAGTTAAATAGTTGCTAAATTACTTCAGTCTAATTTGTAACATACCAAAAGAAATGCAGTCAAATGCTCCTCAGACATTTGTTCAGCTCCAAGTAGCTCCAACACATTAATGATTTAGACAGGAAGGGAGCAGTGGAAATGATTTCATGACCAAAACAATTCCTCTGCCTGACACGAGCTAGTGCTGCATGCCCTTAGCTAAAAAAAACCCCCAAACCGCTAAAAAAAAAACCCCAAACCCCTAAACCAGAGGTTGTGTGGCTGAGTCAGAGGGCTTTTCCAGCTGGCTCATGTGTCACATTCAGTTCCTTTGCTGTTATTTCAGGATTGAGTTTTGGGTTTTCTTTTTTCCTCTCTCCCCCCCGCCCCAAGCACAGTCAGAGTTCATTCACATATGCCCATAATTTATGTCTGTTTTTTTCAAATTTAACATTGATATCTCTACATGACACTGTATAGGAACCACATGGATGCACCTTCAGCACTAATCAAATGTGAAAGTGCTTTTGTGCTGAAAAATACACCTATTAAGTGATTTCAGCTCAGTTGTGATTCATTATATGTTGGCTATTGGGCATTGCCAGAATTCTAGATATTTTGCTTCAGAAAATAAATACCTTCTGGCTGTATATAGTTTTTAGATCTCTTTAGCAGTCAGAAATTTCAACTTGGCCATTATTCCTGGTATAATTTTAAACAAAACCATTTTTACAATCATCCCACCCTCACAAGAAAATAAATTAATGTTAATACATTCCACCTTTAAACTGACATCAGTTTTGGACCTGAACCATTTTGTTTGAAATAAAAATTTCCTTTATGGGAAAAGTGGATTATATTGGCACTTTGATTTACCTGGGAGCCAACGTACCACCTTAGTCTGGGAAAAGTTTGATGAGAAAAGGTACTTAATGAGAGCAGAGAACATGAGTTAACAACTTCTTGCTCTCACATGTTACATGATAAAATTAAGTTTTAATTGATAGTTGGGTGTTAAGTACTACAGCATGGGCGAATTGCCTTTGTT